GGAGAAACTGAAGGCCAGGTTTTTAGTTTACTCATCCTTACATTACAATGCTTAGCACGACATACAGTGCACAATAGTTTTTGATAAATGTCTGTTGAATGAATAAAGGAAGAAAAAGCAGCTAGATTTTCAGAACTTAGGGGTCATGGAGGTTCTGAGCCCCGGAGGCTCAACAAATGGCCAAACTATGGTGAGGCTAGGGCAGAGAGGGCCTTCAGTCCCCAAGAACTTCCCAGATCCTCCCCATCTAGGTCCCAAGTGCCAGCCGTCTACCCTGGGGTCCTGTGCCAGCCACTGGAGGATAGGGAAACAGCTGTGGTACACATGAGCTTCCATCCAATGACCCTCTTCTTACCACATGCCCCTCTGTTTTTCCCAGCAAGAGAGTGCTGCAGGCAAGCCTCCTTCCTTCCCGCTCAGTAAGAGACCCCACTACAGGGCTCTGGTGTGAAGAGGCCCCAGCAGAAGTCTCAGCAGGCCACTAATCCCCAGGTATTGCCTCATGCCTCATTCCTCCCTCCCACCTCCCAGAGGCACAGGCACAGAGAGCCACGCAGGGCACTTACGCTCATTCTGAATGCTTGCTGTTAGTTCCGACGGGTTAGCATTGGAGAGGGAGAAAAGAAGAACATCGTTATGCACACAACCGCCCAGGCGTCCTCACGCCCCAGCACACAGGGAGTGGGCGGGGTGCACCCGGGGAGGGCGCTGAGCACAGGGCTGTCTCCTCCTGGCTGCAGAGCTCAGTGCAAGAACCAAGCAGGGTTGGGGAATGGACCCAGAGAGTGCCTTACGGAGAAGGTGACGCCTCCCCTGGGTGACCAAAACCACAGAGTTGGGCAGAAAGACTGGCTCTGATCAAAGGACAGTGTCACCAGGAAGTCCACATGTCCCAAGGTGACAATGCTGCTTGAAAGAGGCCTTGAAGGTATTTCCCTCCATCTGATGCCACTGAGGGAAGTGGGTTCCTCAGCCGACAGTGAACAGGAGAGGCTGAGGGCAAGACAGGTGCCAGGAAGGGAGTGGATTGGAACCACTGCTGCAGGGCAAAACTCCAAGGTCTCACTTCTCCCATAACACCTTCTCTCCTTGGCATCTCCTCCTTTGCCATCCTATGGAAGACTCTAGAGACAAATGCCCCTTTCATGGTACATTGCCCTATAGAAATCATGCTTCTCAATGGGAGGCTCCAGGGATGAAGCAGAGTCTACGGCTCCTTTCTGTGCTTTTCACAAAGAACGTAAGGAGGCAGGTGGCACAAATCTCCCCCAGCTCCTACCTGAAGTATGCATGTGCTCATATAGGTGTGCTCCTGTGCAGGTGGGGGTATGTATCTGAGGTCTGGGCTTCTCAAATTTTAACATGCATATGCATCACCGGGGGCTGGTTAAAATGCAGGTTCTGATTCAGTTGGGCTGGGGTGGGGCCTGGGACTCTGCCCTTCTGACAAGTGCTCGGGCAACGCCACGCTGGTGGTGTGTGAACCACACTCCGGATAGGAAGGTTTTAGATGGTGTGCTTTTTGTGGGGACAAGGTCTTGGTTAAAATGTGCAGAAAAGAGAACATGTGTTGCTGCGACTTTAAAATGTCTTTTCCTGATGATTATATCAGAAAGTAACATGACATTCTCATTTCATGCAGGTGCAGACTATTGTACTGTTGTTGCAGGCTGACTTTTTCAGAGTGAGGGCTCTCTGTGGGGAGTTGCGAGCTGCCAGCATCAGGGCAAAGTCATGGTGACCTTGAAGCCTTCCTACCTGACTTGAGTGAGACGTGGCGAGGATTCTGGGGGCTTAGCGAGGGCAGCCTGGAGAGGCCAGAGTTAAGCTCAGAACAAGAGGTGCAGGAAGAGCCACAGCAGGAGAGGGAAGAGACCCCAGAGGAGGGGCAGAGTGTGGCAGGACAAGGGCCCTGCTGTACGTGCTGTGCATGAAGGAAAGTCTTGAGACGAAGACTCATGAAAAGATCCAAAATTATTATTTTGTGTGACCCCCGGAGGACTGAAGAGACATTTGCTTCACCATTTGCCCAGGGCTGCCCGGGCAGGAGACAAAGGACTGAAAAGTCCAGGGGGAAAGCAAAAATCTATGGCTTCTGAACACATGCTCCCTGGAGCTCGTCTCTGTGGCATCTTCACCCATATATGATATTCTTGCCAGGGCCCCAAGAAAGGTAACTCTAGAAGGATGAATGACAGTTGGCTTGGGCGGGAAGAAGGGGCCATTCTTAGGAGAGGCAGGGCTGTCACTGGGACCCACTCCCCTTGGCCCTTAGTCCAGGCCCTTGGCTTCTTCATTCAGGATATTTTTGGGGTCTCACCCTGGGTAGCAAGCCTGACAAGGGACCTCCTTTGCCTATTCAAGACTTCAAGCCTCTCTTATAGAATCAAAGGCTGACTCAATGGAAAGAGCCCTAGACATTGTCCAGGGAATCTCCAGATCCAAGGAAGGAGTCTCTTGGCTAAGATCATACAGGAAGTTTGCTGCAGAGCTAGAATGAGAACCAGCTCTCCCAGTGCCTGGTCCAGAGTTTTGTTTTGTTTTGTTTAAACAAATCCATCCTTGGCCAGAGAGGTGAGCAAGCCAGCTGGGGCCTCAGGACTCTGCTCTCCTTGACATTCTGGAGAAGGGTGAGTGAGAGGGGAGACTGTGGGTGCTGGAGACTCTCCGGGCAGCAAGAGCTGGTTGGATGCTGTCCCCAGCTCCCATACTATCAGGCCAGGAGCCTCTGGAGAATCTACTTGACTAAAGGGATGGCATCTGCAGCCACCACTGTGCTACTAAGGAATTTCTTACAGGGACAGAATTGACCCAGAAGACAAACTGCGACAAGGAGAAGACAGTGGGGACAGCTTGTTTAGGGATGAGGGTGACCAAGTTCCCACCCAGTGTCACACCACTCGCCTTCTATGGAGCAGTGGAAAGTGAATTCCACAGCTCTTCCAGCTCAGCTCTGCAGGGACTGAGGCAGATGCCTGCTCGGTCCGCGAGGTTTCTTTACTCATGCGCCTCTTTTCTTTCCCTGGCTCTGATACCTACGACCTCTGGCACCCGTCCCTCAGGAGATGGAGCATGTGAGTGTGTGTGACTGAGGTGTATGTGAGTGGGAGTGAATGTGCAGGAGTGTGAGCACATATGGGTATGTGAGGGCACGTGTGAGTGTGCATGAGTGTGAGCATGTGAGGATATGCGAGGGCGTGCGTGTGAGTGGGTGTGTGGGTGTGCATGAGTGAGCAGGTGTGAGCGTGGTGTGAGTGTATGTGTGAATGTGCATGTATGTGTGAGAGTGTACATGTGAGCTGAGGCCATCCTGCAGCGTTATTTGTGATGGAGGTGGGGGGGAATTGTTTCTGCCACTCCTGGGAGGAAAATGCTGTCCCCTGACGCAGGGCCAGGGACAGAAGAGCCAGCAGACTCACTTTTTGGCAAACTCACCCTGGTTGATGAGGCGACCCTTGGCTTTTTTCAAAGGTCATACTGTTCTCCTTGGGGCTGGATAGGGAGGGAAGGAGGGAGGCAGGGGATGGGTGGGAGGGGTGCGTGTGACTCTGCTGGCACAGCAGTGGGAGCTGGAGGCTGGGCCTTCAATGAGGGATTGTGCAGCGGTCCGGGGCTCTGCTCCAGGAGGCTGCGGCGCCCAGCCTCTCCAGAATAGAAGCAGTGCCTCTGCCCTCGAGACACAGATAATGTCCGCTGAAGGGGCAAACGAGTAGAAGGAACACCTGGCAGGGCGAGAACGTTAAGAAAGCCTGATCTTCCTTCAGCCCAGGTCTGGATGGAGAGTGGGCTCAGCTCAGCACACATAGGAGGTCTGTGGTGCTGGACCCAGTGAGATGGAGAGACCCGCTGAGGACAGCCTCTTCCCAGGGCAGCCGGGGCCTCTCTGAAGGGCTTGCCTGCTGTCTTGCATTCAGCTTCTTTTTTCTGTTTGTTTTTGAGGAATAAAAAGTCTTTATGGGCTCAGACCAGAAGCCCATGGATCTTGAGGACCTCCGTGGACTTGCGATTTTCTTCTCCACGTTCTTTTGGGCCTGTTTCCGCTGCTGTTTCTTCTGGTAGTGGATCTTGGCCTTTTCTCTCTTCTTTTCCTCCAGGGTGACTATCACTGCCTGGTACTTCCAGCCAACCTCATGAGACAGGTACCCCAGGCAGGCAAACTTTCTCGTGGGCTTCAGATGCTCAGCCTCGAGGGCAGCAGGGACCACCATCCACTTTTTCGTGTCAGGGGCAGTGGGATTCCATCAAACACCATGAGGTGGTCCAGGGTGGCCTGACCTCGGTTGGTCTTGTGGGGTAGTATGCCCCATAGGGTCTGTCAAAAAAGGCGGCTGGGGGCCTGGGAATGGTGGGGGCCTCGGGAAGGGTTGGTGTTCATCCACTTGCAGAGGAAGGCCAGATACTTTAACTTGTTTCCATTGAAATTGCCAGAAATGCCAATGCCCTTGCAGTGCATGACCACCACCTTCCAGCCCAGCAGTACAGGAGGCCCAGGGGATGGTCTCAGCCATACAGTGCCAGAACTTGCCCCCTCATCCCCTGTCATCTTCGGCGGTCAGCTTGAAAAGTGTGTTCAGTTTCTGCAGACTCTTTTTGGACATGTTGCCAGGGTCACTGGACCTGCAGCAACCAGGGAGGTGTCATGTGTGTGGCGCACGCTCCAGGCAGCCTGGGTCTCCTGCCCCGACACAGCCAGGGCACCTGGAATGGCATTGCAGAAGGACTTCCCTGTCCATCAGAGAGGTGCTGTGGTCCTATCGCGGCTCTGTCGCTTCCTTGTCTCTAACCCGCAGGCTAAGGATAACACCTGTGTTGAGGGTTAGCTGCCAGAACCATGTGCGATGAGGCACACGCAGCACTTAGCTCTCTCCCTGGTGCATGACACCTGCGATTCCAGTGGTTTCTAAGGAGAAGGACTCAGAGGAGGCAGGTGGGGGTGGGACATATCAGGTCCCAAATTTGGGGGTCAAGAGACTCGGGTTCTTTTTTGATTCCACCACCCATTTGCTATGTGACTCTAAGCTAGTAAAGGCTTGAGTTTCCGGGAACACAACACGGGGTGGGGGTCATCCCAGGGACACTGGAATGGGGAGATGGTGGGAGATCAGGACACTCTCAGCTCTACCCTACAGGTGGGGCTTTAGAGAGCCTGACTCCTTGGGGTGTCTGCTGTGTCTCCATTTCCTTAGAGCTTTGGAATTCTGGATTCTTAAGATAGACACCAAAGCGATCTATTTATAGGCTCACCTTGCAGGGACCCCTCACCCACTGACCCTGGGGGATCAAAGCAGCAGGTGAGTGAGTGAGGAGAAGCGGCAGAAGAGAAAGGAGCCTTCACCACTTCCCTGATAACCCAATTTCCTCTGCACACCCTCCCACCAGGGACTTGGCCTTACCAGGCTCCTTATTAGACTGTCTGCCTGGGACTGTTAATGAGAAACTCTCCTGGAGCCAGCCGCACAGACAGTTACCGTGGGAACAGGTCCTTTCACAACTCTCCTCTCCTCCCTCCCTGTGCATGTGCACACGTGTGTGGGCATGCATACACACGCTCACGTACATGCAAGTCCACATACCTGGGTATTGGGAGGGCAGCAGGGGCTTTGCCCATCTTACCTCCGGGTCTGACTTAGAGTTACTACTGGTGTTCTATCATCCGAAGTATCCCCTCCTCTGGGGCAGCTATTATTGGTGAAGTAGGGTGCCCGGAGGGCTGAGACACCTCCAACTCTTCTCCAAACCACGCTAACTCCAGGACCAGGGGTCTGGCTTTGGAAAGCTCAGGGAGGACTTCCTGGAGTTTGTGTTACTCTCCCGCCCCCTCCCCAGACATCTGTTAACTGGAGAGAGCCCAAGCCAGTGTTGGTGTCATGTGGGTCCCCTCTGTTCATTGACATAAGGAACAGGGGTCAGAGATGGCGTGCTCACATTTTAGCCTGGGGATGCTAAGACAGTTTGCCGGAAGTGTCAGAGTTGTGGTAAAGGTGGCACACACCTAACGGCAGGGCCGAGGAGCTTGGCTGCCAATAAATGGGCCATTGATGAATGCAGCAACAGATATGGTTGGTGGAGACATGGCCGTTAGATTTGCATTTTAAGCCCCTTACTTTATGATTCTGATGGTCAAATAATGCCCCCTCCATGAGAAACAGAATGACAGCGATTTTACTTTTTATTTTATTGCGGGAAAGTTGAAAACAATGAGAAGGAATCCATGCCTGGTTCTCCCATGTGGCATGATAATGGGGCTCTATTTTAATGTCTCCTTTAGCCATATCTTTTGCAAAGATAATTCTGCTCCCAGCCCTTCCCAGGCCTGTGTCCTCCTGATTCCTCCAGCCAAGAGGGCCCAAAGGGTGTGGATTTGAATATATCAGACATTAGAAAGGCAAGTAAGAACTGTTCCACCATACTTGACCCTGGAAACTGCTTTTCCGGGCAAGTCAAGACCACAGAGGACCTGGAGAGGTGAGCAGAGGGAAAAACCCAAGTGGCACTCAGAATCCCAAACTCCGCCACCTCTGGTCCCACTCAGCTGGCTCCAGGTGCCCCAAGCATCAGCTCAGCCATAGCCCTGAGAAACTGGCTCTGCAACATACAGTCTCAAACTTTCAAACATGAGCCCGTGTCAGTTCTTTGGAGAGAAACCCAGCTCTGAATCTCAGAATCCACTGCTTCCCCTCTCCTCAACCTTCTTTGAACGATCTGAACTTTCCTCTGACCATCCCTCCCCTCCCACCGCTCTGCCCGAAATCAGAAGAAAAAGAGAAGAGGATGGGGCAGGACTCACGATCCATAGGAATTTCGATGGCTCCACCAAGACTGAGGAGGCAGAGGAGGAAGGCTGCATGGACCCAGGGCGGCGGTGGCTGCCTGGCCATCCTCGGCACCCGGCCCCGCTCCCTGCTCCCCAGCACTCGGGGTCTTGTCACCTTGAGCCGCTTTAACTGGGCCTCCCGGACAGAGCTCAGCTGTGGAAAGAAACATAAGAGCAAGTGGGTTTTTCATGAACTTGCAGTTTGCTCTAGCAATCCTACAGGGCTTTGGAGGACCCAAGGGCCCCCTTGGTCACAGAGTCATGTTCTAGATAGAGCAGGGTTTCTTAACCTCCACACTATTGACATGTGGGACTGAAAAATCATTGGTGTGGGGAACTGTCCTGGGTATTGTAAGATGTTTAGCAGCATCCCTGACCTCTACCCACTAGAAACCAGTACAGCCCACTCCCTTCATCAAAACCAATTAGAAATGTCTCCAGACATTGGCAATTGTTCCCTGGAGGGCAAACCCCCCAGCTGAAAACTACCGTTAGAGAAGGAAGGGCAACTCCGCAAAGAACAGTCATGAAAACAAACACTGGCCTATTGGCCTGCAGGCCCAGCAACCAGAAGATGCCACGCACCGATCTGGTAAGAAATGCACCAATCTACAGCCTCTCTGAACCACATGTGCTGAGTGTGCCTGGGGATGAGCATATTTGCAGTAGAGGCACAGAGATGAGATCGCACTGATGTCCTTTGATCCCAGGATGAAGGGGGCAGGGTGACACTGGCAGGCCTGGGGAATCATGGGTTAGATAGGTGAAGACACGGTTGCACAAAGGACTTTTTGTCATTTTTGCAGAAAAATGAATGATTTCTGCAACTATTTTGTGCAGCTAAGGAACAGTGGTCCCTGATATTGTCCTTTTATAGATAATGGCAGTGGTAAGATGATGACCAGGAAGAAGTGGACTTCAGGTGGCTGGTAGAGTAAACAACATTTAAGATGGTTCAGTGTTCATCCTCAAGCACAAGAAATCATTCCAGGGCTTACAGAGATGGTGTTAAAAATGGTTGTCCAAGGAACCTAGAATGGATCCTTAGAGACAAACCTTTCTTCTCCTCCTCTAGAAAGAGAAGAGCAAGAATGGCCTACAGCTGAGACTCAAATACAGTGCTTAAGATTACCTGAGGTTCTGAAACATACACTTTAAAAAATTGGTCCAGTTGGCTATTCTACTGTGGTGCCAAGTCAAAGAGGAAGGCAGGAGGTGGCTTCTCCAGAATTCCTCCAGTTTTCCTAGATTCATAGCTACCTATCAGATGGACACACCATTCTCCTGCTCCTGTTTTATTTGGCAGCAAATTGAAGCCCACTCTCAATTGTGCACATGCACCATCTCCCATCCACCCTGACTGAGGGTGCAGAAGATAAGAACAGGACTCCAGTGCTTGCTCTCTGGGAGGGCGAGAGATCCTGGGAAACAAGGCCATCCTTCTAGAGACCTGCAGCAGAAAGCAGGTCACTGATTACTGCAATAGGACAAGGGACTTCCCCTGTGCCAGGATATGGGGCAAACTAAAGGATTCTTATTCACATTTTTGCAGTTTCTAACCTGGAAGCTGGGCCCAGCACCAACCCTCAACTGTGTATATTTCTGGACTCCATCCACTTGTTTCCTTTCCCACTGCCACCACCTTGGTTTTGATCACCAACATTTCATGCCAGAGTTACTGCAACAGCTTCCTAAGTGGTCTCTCCACATCCACTTCCCCCCCCGCTGTGGTTTGTGTTTTACTTTATTATTTTTAATTGACACATATAATTGTACACAGTTATGGGAGGCAGTGTGATATGCCCCTCTGATTTACTCTCTACTCATAACCAAAGCTGTTATTTCTAAAGGCAAACAGAAATGTGCTACTCCCCTAGTGTAACTCTCAATAGCTCACTGCTGCTTGGGAGTTAAAGGTAGTGTCCTTGACATGGTTCAGAGGTCCTGCATAATGTGCCCCCTCTGCTAGCTCACTGTTCATCCCTCCCTTGCATCCTGTGTTCCAGCCAAGACTGCTCTTCTACCAGCTCCCTCAGTACCTCATGCTTGGTCTTGCTTACTGACTTTTGCACCATGAAGCTCTGTCTAGAACACTCTGTGTCTGCCCTCTCTCGTTAGTATTTTCCAGGTATGACATATGTGTCCTTCATCTGTGCTCCCGCACACACTTTACTTCCCCCATTATGGCACATTTCACTTTGTATTCATTCCAAAAGCCACTTGTCTATCTCCCCTATGAAAATGAAAGCTTCTTTATAAGGGAAGGTACTCTGTCTTGTTTACTGTTCTAATCTTAGAATCGATCATAGTACCTAAAACATAGCAGATCTTCGAAACCGTGAGATGGATGGATATATGGATGAGTGAAAAAATGAACGAATGATTAAATCGATGAAATAAGAAGCCATTTGGACCATCATGTGCTTTTTAAAACCTCACGTTTCCCCAGAAAACCACCAGGCGGCGCAGGAGAGCACATGCTGTGGACCTGGGTGGCATACTGTGAAGGCTACTCATTAGTGGAAGAAAAAAATCCGTCTTCTACACAGACGGTGCTTTCTGGAGAGGAAACCAACAAGCTGAAGGAGGGTTGAGAAAGTAGAAAATCTCCCAAGGAGGGATCCTCTGGCTAGAAGGCATCACAGGAGGTCTTTGTTTCATCTTCCCAACTCTCTAAGATGGTCCTTATACTGTCGCAGAAAGAATCCACTAATGCCTCTCCTTGGCTTATACATCTCCAAAGGCCAGACTTAGATTAGGCAGCTGAACCCTTAGTGCTGAGGGAACCTGCGCTAGGGGAAGGCACAGCAGGGGCGGCGGGGATGGTGCCCGTCAGGGCTCCATGACCAGCGTGTTTGGTTTAGGAGCTGCCAAGCAGTAGGAAGTGAAGGGAAAGAGAAGGATATTTTATTCTGGGAATCTTGATAGAACTAGGAAGCCAGAAGCTATTCATTAAAACAGATACACATTGGCAAGAAAAAAAGCCCAATTGTACGGGACATTTTGAATTCACTATTTAACAACAGAGTGGAAAAAGAATCTCAAGATAACCACATTTAGCTGTGTAGCAATTCTCTCCCCCTTTCCTCTCTGGAACCCAGTTTTTCCAACAAAATCTTACAAGACGAAAAGAATTTAAAGAACACGAGTTTCATACAGTCCCCTTTCTTTTCAGATGAAGAAACAAAAGCCCAGATAAGGGAAGTGACTGGTTTGAGTTTACCCAGCTGGTTAGTGGCAAAGCTAGAAAAAGAACCCAGGTTTCTTGACTCCTAGTCCAGGGATTTTCCATCCATTTTTCTCTTTTTATGTACAGGAAAAGTACCAGAGTAAGGTTGCTATTTAAAAAAGAAATGTATAGTTTGGCAGTTCCTCAAAAAGTTAGACACAAAATTACCATATGACTCTGCAATTCTACTCCTAAGGTATATGAGCAAAAGGATTAAAAACAGGCATCAAACAAGTACATGTACACGAATGTTCACAGCAGCATCATGCACAACAGCCAAAGGGTGGACACAGCCCAGATGTCCTCTAAGGGATGAATGGATAAACAAACTCCAGTATGTACATACCCTGGAATATGACTCAGCCATAGGAAGGAATTCAATACTGACATGTTCCAACTGGATGAATCCTGAAAACACGCTCGGTGAAAGAACCATGCACAAAAGGTCACAGGGAATGATCCCATAGATATGACATCTCTAGGTCTTATCTATAGAATAGATACATACATAGAGACAAAACATGGATTGTCTCTGGTGACCAGATGCAGAGGGGAAGGGAGAAGGCGGGTAACTGGTTAGTGGGTATGAGGTTTCCTTTTGAGATGCAAATATTTTGGAACTAGACAGAGTTGTGGTTGCACACATTGTGAATGGACCAAATGCTACTGAATTGTGCACTTTATTTAATCTATTTATTTTGGAGACAGAGTCTCACACTGTCGCCCAGGCTGGAGTGCAGTGGCACCATCTCGGCTCACTGCAACCTCTGCCTCCCGGGTTCAAGTTATTTTTGTGCCTTAGCCTCCCAAGTAGCTGGGATTACAGGCACGTGCCACCACACCCAGCTAAATTTTGTATTTTTGGTAGAGACAGAGTTTCACCATGTTGCCCAGGCTGGTCTTGAACTCCTGACCTCAGGTGATCCACCCAGCTCGGCCTCCCAAAGTGCTGGGATTACAGGTGTGAGACACTGTGCCCAGTTTTGAGCTGCACACTTTAAAATGGTTTATGTTATGTTTCACCTCAATAAAAAAGAAAAGTATAATATTGGTCTCCATTATGTGCTCATATAGATGGGACAGAGGATGAAGAGGGCAGGTTATTTGATGTGAGCATATAAGGGCCCTCAGCTCCCCAGGCTGGGCTCACTCAGCATGGAAGACAGGCACATGGTTTATAACCCTTTCCATCCATTCTGAGGAAATTTCCATCCAAGTCAAAGGAAGGAGTGAATCCACCATCTTTCTGAGTATGAGAGTTCTAGTACTGAGCTCAAAGAACCCAATGCAGAGTGACGGCAGAGATCCCCTGCCTGAAGGTACCCCCATATCAGCAAGGCTTACAGTTCCCCTGTCCTGATGACCAGGAAGAAAGGTGAAAGGGACAGGCTTGCTAGCCTACAGCAGTCAAGTCCACATTTCCTGTTCAACCTCAGTCATTACACAGTCTTGCCCTATGGCTCAGTCATGCCGCCTCTCAGGTTCCTCTCCCAGGCGTTCCAGCCACACCAGAGGTGACTGCTTAGGTGCAGAGAAGTGCAACATCCAGATGCGGGGGTGGCTGGTTCTAGTGAGATCACCCTGCAGAGGACCAGGAAACTCCCACATCCCAGGAGGGAAAGTAAAGGAGAGGGGGTAGGTTGAGCCTGAAGAAGAGGGGCCACAGTGATTGTATTCACATGCTGGGAGAGAGTGTAGAATTTTTCTGTTTAGTTCCACAGGGGCAAAGCTAGGACCAAACAGGAGGATGTTTCAGAGAGACAGGTGCTTCCTTGAGTCACAGGAAGAATTGTCTGATAAATGCAGCCGTGCCACAATACCATTAGTGAAAATTAAACATACTCTAAATATGATATGTTTGAAGGATCCTTTTATATATAATAACACAAGAGGTAGGTTGTAAGGATATAAAATACATGAGAGGA